CACACACACACACCCTTCGCACACACACACACACACACGCACGCGCGCACACACACACACACACACACACACACACACACACTCACACTTAATCAATCAATCAATCAATCAAACCCTTTTTTTGTTTATTTGTTTTCAAATTTTGCATCGTCATTTTTTTTAAACACCTCATTTCCCTGCAAAAAACAGAAATTCATTTCTCAAAAAAATACAGGTCAACTCAGGGACCATATATCTCATGATAAAAAATGAAAAAAAAAAAATCCTGCTTTTCTTTATGTATATATTTTTTAATTTTGTTTAAATCGAATTTATTTTTTTATTTTTTTTTAAATCCTCAACAAAGTCGGATTCCAAAAAAAAAAATATAGGAGTGTAGGGTTTTCGAAGCCCTACACCCCCATATACATATATGTATATAACGTATTTGTTGGGGGGGAAAAAAAAAAATTAAAAAACCAGGCCGCGGCCGTGGTCGAGATTCTCGGCCGCAGCGGCCGAAATGCCCGCGGCCTAGGCCGCGGGTGTCACATAAGCTCAAACCACCAGTACTTGGCCCATACATCGGTCACGGGGCGTTGTCGTTTAGGACCCTCAACTTCCGGAGGCTCCGGGTACCGGCCCTCAAAGGCTGGTGCCGCCAGCCAAAACAACTGTTCTTGGTTGTGCTGGCAGGTCGGCGCGAAACGGCACACAGCCGTTTTTCAGGCTCGGCATCGATAGCTGGGCCAAGTACTGGTGGCTCAAAAGAATTAGCCTTTCAAAAAGAAAAAAGAAAAAAACAAAATTATGGTGGAAAGGAACCAAAAAAAAAAGAAAAAAAATGGTCCGTAGTACATGCGCAACTGGACTGAGTGAGGGTTGGATCATTTAGCAATTAGTAGCATTTTTAAAAATGGTAATTGGTAACATATCACAGCACATGCGCAACCTGAACGAGTGAGGATTACATCATATAGTTCACGTACAGGAATATTCATGGCCTTTCATGTGTGGTTAGATATAGACACAGCTAACTAGAAAGCTAAAGGCACGCACTGTGCTAATAAGTCATAGAGAGAGCCTCAGAGAAGCTTCAATACGCTTGAGCCATCATATTGAAGCCATCTTTTTTAGTACCACCCTGCGCGACAACCCTCGCAAAAAAGTTGGGGAAAAGTTATAGATACCCCCCCCCGACAAAAGGTTTGTATTCGTTTGCCACCCCAATGGCCGAGGCCCTCAAAGGCTTGAGGCTGGGAATGGGATCCGTAACTTTTACTACCAGCTTTCGGGGGCCTGTCGGACCTTTTGTCGCAGTCCAGGGGCAGACGAGCACAAAAACTTTCTTTTTTTTTTCTTTTCAAAGGCCCAACCAATTCAATTACCTGTCAAATCTGGACAGGACGGCCTTTCAGGCCTTTTTCTATTGTCAGTATAGTATTAGCCTCCAAGGAGGGAACGTGCGGGAGCTGCACCCACCAGCACGCGCGATACCTCCTGCAGCAGGTGGGCGATACCGGCCAGGGGTCAGCCGGTAGCATCAGGACTGAACTTCTTCGATGGGCCAGTCGCTGTGCCTCCCCTCCGGTCCCCTCCCCCTATGAACATCAGCAGACTCTGCTAAATGCCACTCAGGGGGACCAACGGCTTCTCTAGGTGGCAGGCGCCAAGCTTGCCCAGGAAGGCACATGACGCGTTGAATCCAAGACCTCCTGAATGCCACTTGCGTGCCTTACCAGCTCAGCTAGTCCGCTGATTGAGTACAAAACCTTTGTGGCGGGCAATCTATATATTTTCCCAAAACAAATTGCATAGGCCTAGGCAGCCTAGCTGAGTTGGTAAGGCTCGCAAGTGGAATTCAGGAGGTCTTCGGTTCAAGCCCCATAGGGCTCATGTACCTTTCCCAAAAAAAATTGCATAGGCCTAGGCAGCCTAGCTGAGTTGGTAAGGCTCGCAAGTGGAATTCAGGAGGTCTTCGGTTTAAGGCCCATAGGCCTCATGTACCTTCCTGGGAATGCTTCGTGCCCTCCACCTAGAGTCTAGAGATAGACCACTGGATCCCCATCGGCATTGAGTAGAGTCCACTGATGTTTGGAGGGGAGGGACCAGAGAGGAAGCACATGGATCGGTCCTGTTGGCATGGTCCCTGATTGCAGCATGCCTCTAGCTGCCCTGGCCTAGAGCCAGGGCTATCTGGCTATTTTGCCTGTTCGGCCTGTGGGACCAGGCCGTGGCCTGACCCCACAGGCCGTGTGCTCATTCAGTACAGTCCAGTCCTGCCCGGTACCAGGCCAGGCCAGTCCAGTCCAGTCAGTCCGCTGGGGGTATACCCCAGCTGCAGTTTGTTTCCAGTCTCTTTCTTCATTTTGCAGAGTTTGGAGTACGTGCATATTGAGTCTGCGTTGGAGCTGTGCTGTCCCTTCCAGCTCCATCTCCATCTCCATCTCCCTCATCCCTTCGTCTAGCTCCTCTATGGCCAGCACTCACACACCAAACACAACACCCCCCCCCTCCAACCCCCCCACACACTCATGATGACCAAAGACCCTACCAATACGATCAGGGGATGCAAGCCAACTATCTCAGTTGGTTGGCAGCAAGCATGCCCAGGTGAAGAGTAGGGCTTGAACCCATGACCTCCTGAATCCCACTTGCGTGTCAAACGAACTGAGCTAGTCCGCCTGCTGATGACAATATCTCAAGGCCATTGCCCTTCGAAAGAAAAACAAAAATACAATTTCCGAGAGAAACCAACTGGACTAGCTCGGTTGGTTCACTGCTGACATACAGACCCAAGTTTGAATCCAGATGCAATTAGATGACAGAACAAAATAAATAAGTCTGAAATACCTCATATGATATCTCTTGTTCTTTTTTTTGTGGAAAACTAGGCTGTATTCTCCTCTCAAGTACACCTTTCAGTACCAGGTCCTACCCACCACTTGTTTGTTCAAACAAAGAATTAAAAATGTTCAGGGACGCTGGACCCACTTTCCAGCAGGTGCTGCTCCCCACAAATAGATGGAGCCTCCCCAGGAGTGCTGGTGGTGCCTGCTCTTATCAGCACCCCTAGCATCAGCTCGGGCTGGTCTCTATCTTTCAATAAAGGTTTTGCATGTCCCAACGCTACGATCCGAGAGGATGGTAGCATCTGTCTCATCCAAGGCCGGTTCCCTAACAATGCCTAACTCTCGCACTAACTCTAGCCTCTCCCTCTCCAATGTTTTCTCGGCGGCAATCTCATGATAATCTGGTGTGTCCAACTTCACCCGTACAGACAGCCTAAGCAGATGCTCCTGCCTATCCCTCCAAAAGTTGCTGCGAAAGACATTGAATGGAATGCCATTGCTATACACAAATCGCAGGAAGAGTCTTTTGAGCTCTGTCTCCCAATCCCCAGCATAAGCCTCGTCCACCCTCTCTTGTTTGAGCCTCTTCTTCCCCACTGTGTCTGCCCCACTTCCACCAACCTCTTTCCTCTTCCCCAAAATGGTCACCATTGCCAAATCGTCAACATCTTGCTGTGATTGGGCACATGAAGCCTGCTGTGCCTTATGCATAAACTGATCCGCACCCGACGAAGTGCCAACCCCCCCCTCCAACTCGTCCTCTGCGTCAGGAGCAGGCGTTGTCTTTTCCTTGCCTCGCTGCCTGGCATTATCAACGAGCCCAACATCCAGACAGTGGTCCTCATCGAGGTCAATCACATCCTCGTCATCCATCCCACCAAATGCCCCTCTGAAAGGATCGGTACCTGCCTAGCCTGTCCCCACACCTCGTGAACGTGCCAGACCATGATGTGCCTCATATTCCTCAATACGATCGAGCTGGCGTCCAGTGAACTGATATCGTGTCCGCCTGCTGAGGTCATATAATGCGGCATCCGTAACCTTCTGGCAGAAGGTCAGTTGGAAGAAGTGATTCGCCGCCTGGAACATCGTCCCCTGCCATTCCTTCCCGCAGAAGGTGCACTTCAACATCCTCTGCCCCTTACATTTTTCATTGTAGTTGACGGCCTGCCCCACCCTGACGTAGTGGTACACACTGCTCCGGCGCCTGTACTCAGCCTGCACGTCCTCGGGCTCCTCCAAAAACACTCTGTTCTGGTGACGCGGCATCTTAGTGGCCCACAATGACCCCCCTTCTCAAAGTCTTGCAATCCTTCCAATGGCGCGTGAGCCTGGCAAGGGCAGCCACAAGACCCGGCCCTCGACCAAATCCCCCACCCCCAGCCCCCGCCTCGCCAACGCCCCCTGCCCACCCCCTTGGGCCTTCAGGCCTTGGCCCCACAGAAACGTGCTCTGCTGCTGAAGGCACCTTTCAAGGTAGAATGTGACCTAGAAAATGCATTCACATGTTTGATGCGTTCTACACTCTCCTCCACTGGCGCCGGTCTGTCGCACCACATTGTCCCACTACATGGCGGTCCGCCCTCTGCCTTCGTGTTCGCCCTCCTCCTCACCACTGACTGCCGATGTGCTGGCGCTCTTTGCTCTTCGCGGCGTCTTGCCAGAACATGCTCGTGCTGAACCGGTGGCGACCCAGGTCTCTCTCTCTCTCTCTCTCTCTCTCTCTCTCTCTCTCTCTCTCTCTCTCTCTCTCTCTCTCTCTCACATCTAGATGTGTATAAGAGACAGATTCAGTACAGTCCAGTCCTGCCCGGTACCAGGC